AAGATGATTTGTAAAAGTTGATTTGTGTAATTGATGCGAACATAATTCTTATTTGTGCTTGTTTAATTGATTGAAATGTAATGGTTGATTTTGTTGATTTCAATCTGCATTATGTTGAAATGAAAATCGCAATGCGAAATGAAAATCGCAACGAGAGAATCGCAATGCGATTTTCATTTCGCATTGCGATTTTCATTTCCGCATTGCGATTCTCTCGTTGCGATTTTCATTTCGCATTGCGATTTTCATTTCGCATTGCGATTCTCTCGTTGCGATTTTCATTTCCGCATTGCGATTCTCTCGTTGCGATTTTCATTTCGCATTGCGATTTTCTTTTCCGCATTGCGATTTTCTTGTTGGGATTTTCATTTCGCATTGCGATTCTCTCGTTGCGATTGTAATTTTCGTGTTGCGATAATCAAATGCATGCCTAATAAGTGATAACAACTGAATAACAAGAGTTGGTTAAGTCAAAATGGTTGGCCTGAGTCATTAATTCAACTGAAAATGTTAAAAGTTCACACATAAAATCCACATAATACAACGTTTGCATTTAAAAATCACCTAAGTTAACAGTCCCAAAAGGTGAAGCCAATTGTGATTGGGATTTTAAAGATGATTGCCTTTTGCTTGACACCATATGAGCTTTGGATTTTGATGAGGATCCATATTTTGGTAGAGGAAAAGATGATTTTGATGGCACTGGTGATCCACATGTCAACCTTGTATGACCACTTTCCTTGCACCGACTACATGTCGATCTCTTCTTCTCTTCACCCTTAGACGGTATACGATCGTGACTTTTTGGTCGGCCAGGTAGCCTTCTGTCCATGGCTGGTGGCAAAATTGTTTGTAAGTCATCTGGTATGTCCCACTCAGAAGGATGTGAAATAGGGTAGACAATCTCGGCATAAGTCTGTCGATAAACTTCTGTAGTGTAGCAATCCATAGCGTATGCGCTTGAATCATCTTGGTTTAAATGAAGAGCAACTTTTATAACATGGCCACACGGATAACCAGATGTTTGCCATTTCATACAACTAGCCCATTTAAGTTATTATCCAATACTTGAAACAAAGTGTTTGAACATGGTTCAACTCTCCATGACGTTGACTTCACAACACGTTTCGTTATCTTTTTTTCAGTCCATGGTGTAACACGATGTTCCAATGTTCCTGTAAATTTAAATAAACAATACTTAGTAAAATATATAAATATGATAAGTTACGAATTCAAAGAAATAATACCTGCATGGTTTCTTTTCTTGTAGTACCACTGTTGAATAGAGGCTCGAAAAAACTCCATTAACATAGTAATGGGTAATTTCCGGGAATGACGACTTAGAGCGTTGATTGATTCTGCACTATTAGACGTCATGAAACCATATCTGCTCCAAGTTGATGTACTCTTGACCATCTTTCAAACCCGACATCTTCTAGTGTTTGAGCACACTGAGGCAAAACACGTCTTAAACAATTATATGCTTATTGAAATCCACTTCCCGATAAGCTTTTACAGCCTTCCAGTATGTCCATTTGTGCTTTTTTATACCAGCAGACCTTGATTTTAGATTTCTATACAAATGAACACCACAAAGTCCATGAAAAGCATCTGGGAAACACCTTCTAACAGCGTTGTCAATTGAGTTTGCCCTATCGGATATGATTGTCAGATTGCTAATAGGACCTATGCAATCCCTAAGATGCCCCATAAACCATGTCCATGAATCAGAGGTTTCAGATTTGCCAACCCCGTAAGCTATTGGCAATATCCCATTGTTAGCATCCATGGCTACTGCTAATAAGTTTACTCCAAGGTATCGACCTTTCAAATGTGCTCCGTCAACTATAATAACTGGGCGCATGCAAGTAATAAACGAACGAATCTACAAAATAATATACACAAGAAATATAATCATTTAAATGTGAAATGCATGTAACTAACAAAAATGAGTCAACAAAATTATATTGATTTACTAACCGTAGCACCAATGGCGATAAACAGCAACTCAAAGCGTCCATCTCTATCTGTTTTGATATGAGTTACCGACCCAGGGTTTTTCAGCTTTAAATTGTGACAATAAGCCGGCAGTTGGGCAAACGATGCTTCTGGCGACCCCCTCAACAATTCCAAGGCATAACATTTGGCTCTCCAAGCTTGAGAATATGATATACTAATCTTGAACCGAGCATTCATGTCAGTCATAATTTCATGTCCCCGATATACCCTGCCATTCAAAAACATTAACTCAGCCAGAAAACCACCCAACACCTCTTTGTTTGCCTGTCTATGGTGAGGAAAAACTTGGGTTCTTGAACATGTATGTTTATCAATAAAAGTCCTAACTTGAAACATTTCGCAATCTTTTATTCTCTTTGCAATCATACGCCACGTACAGTTTTTGTCAATCATACACCTTGTTTCGAAACGATCTTTGCTTGATTTGTTAACTTTTAGTTGATAGCCATCTTCCACACATTTCGTATACAAAGCTATCTTTAAGTCTTCCTTTGTATCAAAACAATCATCTTTCTTGATACGAATAACTTTTGTGTAATAATCAACTGCTTTCTTTACCAACTCTTCTTCCGGTATCTGAAGTAATTCTGCATATTCCAGTTATACGCCCGTGGCATTTTCTTTTCTTCGGGGACTTTTTCTTCTTCTTTTTCTTCTTCAGGATTATATGAATTACAGAATGGATGTTCAACATGTTCATTCACAGTCGTAACTTCCTCCTCATTATCATCAACAATACATTCTTCGGCAACGGCTGTTTCTTCATCAAAATTCGGGTATTGACCAATATCAAAATCATTACACGCAGGGTCTGTTTCTTCTTCTGAAACATCATCAAAATCCGTGTATTGACCAATATCAAAGTCCGGATATTGACCAATACCAAATTTCGAATACTGACTAGTACTCACAATTTTTTCTGTTGGCTCATCATCGTCTAACTGGTCAATACGAAAACCGGAATTTGGTGCTGAAAGTTGATTGGGATTTGGATTAGAGAAAGGTTGTGGGTTTTGAGAAAAACTTAGTTGATTACTACCCGCTACTGACCCAACAATACTACTTCTAGGTTCAACAACATACAATGTAACATCATCTTGTGAAACACTAATGTAAGCAATGAATCGTTCAACATCTTCATTGTCGGTTAACAAATAAACTTTACCATTTCTCTGATAAGATAGCCTAAATCCACTTAGGGGCTCTAAATTCAATTTATTTGAAACACGTAGCATTAGAGTTTCATAAGTTAACTTTTGTAAAGACAATTTTAGTTGAAGATTCATGGGTAAAGGCATATATTGTAAAACACCATGAACATTATCCCATGACCCTCCAAAACACAATCTATCCAAACATGATCAACATTAGATGATTTCATGGTTGTAAATTAATTTACTAAACAGACGAGCTGCGAAACTAAAACCTGTTGCCGGATTGGGAAGGATGTCGTTGGATATAGGAACGGATGTCGCCGGAGAGAGTGATAGATGGAGATGGAATGAGTTGCGATTTAGGGATTTAGTTTATGATTTGCTGCTGTTGCGTAGTTATATACCCAAAATTTCAGTGTTGTGATTTACAGATTCTCGTTGCGATTTACGGATTATCGTTGCGATTTACAGATTCTCGTTGCGATTTACGGATTATCGTTGCGATTTACGGATACGCGTTGCGATATACGGATACGCATTGCGATTTACGGATACGCGTTGCTATTTACGGATACACGTTGCGGTTTACGGATACGCGTTGCGATTTATGTGTTCGCGTTGCGATTTTCATATTCGCGTTGCGATTCTTGAAAATCGCAATGCGAATTTGTACTATCGCATTGCGATTTTCAAGAATCGCTTTGCGATTTTGGAAACTAATTTGCGATTCTGGGGATCGCGTTGCGATTTTTATTTCGCGTTGCGATTTTGTTGGTCATTTTGGCAAATCCAAAAAAAGTTGGTTAAAATCGTATATTATAAGGCATTTTTTGTCACTGAGGCGATTTTCTCTTTTAAATAACCCTTAGATATTTTATTTAGAGATCTAGTTTCTTATATAATGTTTGAGGAGTTTTCCTTAATTGAATGAAGAAAGTTATCTTTTTTGTAGAGCTTCAACATTCTGATTACTATAGGCTAATAAAGCGGAGTAGGTTTGAATCAAATCCAACAAAATCAGTTTAATTTTGTTATTGACTTGAGAGGTTCCCTAACGTATTAGGGTTTTTCTTTGGCTGGTACTGAGAGGAAGACTCTTAACTAATGCTGAACGAGTTCTTTGACATATGACAATAGATGGTTTATACAATATATGCAAACATTAAGACGAAGATATTAACCGCGTCTTTCAACGATGCAATCGAAAATGAGACTGCAATCGCTATTTGAATCCCTTGCTACTACTGGAGGTATGCTACAAAACGAGCAAGAAACATGGTTGTTTGGGTTCTCTAGTAATATTGGTAATTGCTCAATATTGATTGCGGAACTACGAGCGATCTATGAAATTTTGGTACATGCGAGGAGATGGGGAGTTTGTAAATTTCATGTCGAAACTGATAACGCATATGCATTGAAGGTTAATGCTCGCTCACCAGAGGTACTAGCAGGTAATGCAATTGCCGAAGCCATTTGCGCTCTGTTGGATAGACTGGGAGGTGAGGGTGACACAAATCCGACGAGAGGAGAATGCAGTGGCCAGGGCGGAACATAAGCTGGACTAGAAGGGGCCTTGCCCCCCAAAAAATTGAAAATTTCTAATTTTGACCCTTAAAATTACCCATTAACATTTTGTTTCATTAGGAAAAGGAAAATTACATTAACTTAGTACTTAATGATAACCAAAAGAGCAAAGCAAACCTACATATATACAAGGCAAGTGGTTTGCATTTTACTTTGTATTATTATTATTTAGGCATAAAACAAAGATAAGCTAAAGGAGAAACATCATTGGCAAATGTCTTAACCAAACTGATAAGGACAATATCAGTTTTTGTCATTGTTGTTCTTGTTGAGCTCTTGCAGAAGAAAACTAATGTTATCAGCAATCAAAGGCTTATTAAAGCAATAATTCAAGCCTGCCTCCATGAAAACTTGCTTCTCATATGGTGAGTCAAGTGAAGTTACACCAACGATCATGCTTTTCACTCCCATAGCTCTCAACTCCTTAGTTGCCTACAAAACATTTATATAATTATTGTTTTGTTTACTACAAAAAATTTTCATTAATAGCTCTTCAAGTAATATGTACTATGTACCTCGGCCCCATCCATGACAGGCATTTCTTTGTCCATTAGAATGAGATCGAAAGAAGCTCCGAAACGGAAAAGTTCGACAGCGTTCTTTCCGTTCTCGGCAACTTGAACTTCGAGTCCAAACTTCTTGAGATACATATCATGGAGCTTACGGATCATCGGACTGTCATCAACAACCAACACTCTCAAGTTATTGTTATTATTAACCACGTCTTCATCTGATTTCATGCTCAAGGATGAACTCGATGCTTTTCCCAACACCATCTTCAAGCTTGGGTATAAACCTTTTTAAAAGCAACTTGTAAATATCAGCAATAATCTCAAAATCATGAAAATTTATTTAAAAATACTAGTGAACAAGAAAAGAATAGGTAAAAGAATATATATATCTTCATTTGATTACCTCAATGCTATCTTAAGTTGCTTGAATACTTATGATTTCTTCAATACCAATGATTGCATACCTAAACTAGATAGATTTATATAGGCAGTGGAAACTGGAACCTTTCTTCTTTCATTTACAAACACATGACATTCATGAACAGTTGAAAGCAAGTACTTAAAAATGAAATCCAGCAGCTTGGATTTTTCTTTTCTTTCAAAGCAATTTTTTAAGGTGTGGACAATTAGAAAATCTTGTTTCTTTTATTGCTCTGACAATGGTATAATAAATGTGATATTACTCGGATTCGCAATTAAGAATATAAGATATTTTGACGTAAAATATAATCCAACTATACTAAAAATGAAATGTTTTTGTCATGAACTTTTTCTTTATAGATATCAAAATGGTTTTTGGTTGATATTAACCAATGGTTTTAGAAATCAAGGGTAGGACACATATACCTCACGACACGTTAGCTTTTTTACTTAATCCATGTAACACCCAACACTTGGTTTATATGTTACAAGTGAATATTGAATGTCACATCTATCGCACAAGCTACGTGAAAATAGTTTACAAAAGCTCAATATTCAAAATAGTCATAAATTCATATAAGAAATATGTAATTTAAAATATAGGGAAATAAACTCAATGTATACAATCTAATAATTATAAATCAATGCGACAACTAAAAAAAATATAAGTATACATTTCAATGATGAAAATTAAAACTCTAACCCTTCAAATGTCATACATAAATCTAAGATTTGAGTTGTCCGAAAAGATGAATAATTTATTAAATATTTAATTAAGTAGGGACCAAACTAAAGATGAATAATATCATATTCTCAATTTTTTTTGTCTAATAACGATTTAGGTCATTATAAATTTAAATATTAGACAAATAGACATTGTCTTCTAAATTTTGAGTTTAAATACTTAATAAGTCATTGTATTTTTTTTTTAAATTCAATATTTCGGCCCTACCAATATTTAAACCTAGCTCCGTTTATTTTAGAGTGTATATGTAATGTCTTATGCATGCTATAAGCCCTAACTATCCAACATCGTCACGACCAATAAATAGAGGTTTTATAAAACCTTGTAACACTGCCACAACCAATAGGATGTGAAATTATCATCTGAAACGGATGAACTAAAATATGATTGTGAGGTTACCAGCCATATAAGGTGAACCACTGCAATTCCTCTATAACAAACTCAACCCTGTGTATATACAAGATATGCATGCATGTCATATTAGGATAGGAGAATCGTCACCTTACCAAAGGTCTATCAGTCGAGAAGCGTTAAGATACGAAAATCATACATATGGAACCATATTTTATCATAAAATGAGAAGGCATGCATATTATGTTATTACATAAGCAAATAACCAGAAATCATAATATTTTAGTAAAACATACTCATAAGCAATCATGCACTCAGGCGATCCAATATGAAGTTTAAAACAAACATAAATATCATAAAGTATATATTATACAATATAAGTCTTAACCACAACATACAACGTACATATGACTCAACCAAAACAATAAACATGAGAAACTTAGACGAGTACACATTGAAACATTTAACTAATTTTTTTTTCAAATATTTAATTTGCCTTGTTTGTTAAGGTACACCCATTCTAAGTTAGATTCCAAGGTTTCAATTCTATCAACGTCTTTTATTTTCATTTTTCTGTCGTAATCTAAAATATAATATATAAAATATTTTGAACTTAAGAATAAATAAGGGCTTTATCCTAGTGGGTGGATGAGGCTTTGCTAAAGGAGCCTTTGGTCATTAGTTTAATTTTTCCAATGTAAGTTTCAATTTGTTTGTTTTCTTCTTATTAGAGGATTAATTTTTGAATTAAATTAAAATTTATGATACATTTGATAGAACGTGTAAGTAATGAAGAGTAAATATGTAATTATATCAATTTTATTAACTATCATGACGACAATTTCAGTAAATGTTAATGACAGAGGTTTGATTCAATACATTTAAATAGTTAGGTGACGTTATTTCAAAAAAAAAAATAGTTAGGTGACATGATTGATAAAATTAGAAGATCAATAGTCAAAGTGAAAAGTAAAAATAGTTAGATGGTCAATAGTATAGTTTACCCTAATTCTTATTCCCTTCGTCCGGAGTGTCTTCTTCTTCATAAAAAAGAGAATGGAAGCCCGAAACCCTAAAGCAAACCTCCAACCCTCTGTTCTTTCGTGCAGCCCAATTAATCCTAGACCTATTTCTTTTATTGTTCTGCACCGCGGAGGCTTCCCTGCACTCTTCCGCACCAGCATCGCTGCCAACCTCTGTGTCTCTCTCTTTGACCCACGCTTGTGCGTCTACTATAATCCAAGAACCTCTTATCTTTGGTGACTGAACCCCACCCACGTCTACTATAAACCGATACCCACGCATGCCCAGTCACCTCATCCCACCTCGCCTCTTCAAGTTCCGGCGCTCCACGACCAATACCCAAGCGCTCGTCCTCCCAATAGTGTTCTGTTAACATAGCACATCAATGGCTTCACGTTTCCAGGCGGCAACACTGGTGGATTCACCATCGTACCCTAAATCCATCGCCTGGTCCGAGGAGAACCTGATTGCTGTTGCATCCGGTCACCTTGTTACCATTCTGGTAAGTTTTAGCTGTTTCAATTTAGGTGGGTGGCTGCTGTTTTGTGTGTGTGTGTGTGCTTAGTTGAGATAACTATAATTAAAGAAGGAAAAGAAACAAAAAGTAAAGAACTTTGCGTTTACTCTTTAATGTGTGTTGCAGGAACAGTGTTCCCCCCCCCCCCCCCCAATTTCTCTTTAGAACTAAAACTGATGTGGCCATTTTTTCCCCAAAAACTTTTCAATTATATCTTTTATCAGAATCCAGCATTGCCCTTTGGACCTCGAGGGCTGATCAGTATTCCCAAGAGTGAACCTCACCCCATTGGGGTGGTAAAAAGAGAAGGTGCGTTCTAGAATTCTGACCAGTGTGCTTCAATTGCCTCAAATTTATTGTTTTTATAAGCCTCAAAAGGTTGAGGTAATTTAATAATCATTGTTGCATTTGACTATTTACTTCACATATAATTTAAATTGGTGTCTCATCAGATCTAGCATCTGGCTGTTTGTTACCCACTACTTTAAGTCGGGATCCTCGTCCTTCTGTTCGATCAATTTCATGGTCTCATCTTGGAATGGCTCCTAACTATGGGTAAGAATCTGAAAGATATCATTGCATGATTCCCTAGTTTTCTGCACTGCATATCTGTACTTTTGTACAATTGCTTCAACAAAATGCCAGCTGTATGTAGGTGTTTGCTGGCTGTTTGCACCACAGAAGGGCGTGTAATGCTCTACCGTCCTCCCTTTTGTGATTTCTGTGCTGATGGATAGAGGTATGTATTCGAGTTGGGATAAACTTTTTGCTCTCTACAGCAAGTTATAGTTCCCCTGAAATGTTTGAAATCACTGAAGTGAAGTAGGTACTCAAATGCTTGGGTAGTTTGTTTGAAATTTAGTGAATACCATAACAAAATCAGAAAGAATGATGTCATATATTTTGTGTAGCCAAATTCTCTATCAATTGACGTGGTGGAGATTAATTCTGTATTGATGATATGGGGGAACTAGTTAGATCAGTATTTTTTCTGTTGTTTGTAAATGACATGTTCTTGTTTGAATTTTCTGTAGGTTTTGGATATAACTGATAGGCTTTATGATTATCTTGCAAGTATTAGTTTTGAGGATCCAGATACTCCTCCTTCAGAAATTTCTAATGTAAGTCCTTTCATCTATTAATGAACCAAGATGCATTAGTTTTCTGCCACATTATATTTGCTCATAGGAAATCCTTTTTATTATTTTATGATGGTTTCTACCTCATGCTAAACAATACATGAAAATCTATATATACACTGCAAAAAACTAAACATGTAATTTCTAAGAGATGGTTGAACTCCTAGGATCATACCTATAATCCTTTATTGTACAATGGTATATGCTAAACATCTTGTTAGGATTCATACTTTGACTTGTAGATATCATAATCTAGAGTTCTTGATAACCCCTTTGTTACGATCATTTGTTTAGGGATTGAATTGATGGTGGAACTCATCAAGGGGAATTTCAATCTTAGACTCGTTAGTGAGAATTTTAAAACTGATAGGGGTTTGTTAAAAATTTTGACTGAACTTTATTTCGTCCAAATTGGTCTCTTAAGTAGAGGTTACATTAGGTCAAATAAAACTGCTACTAAAGTAACTAAAAGCAAGTCTCCTACTAAGGAAAGACTTCTATTGATATAAAATACTCATAAATAAGATCTACTCCTAATGAAATGCTAATTTTCCTCAAGTTAAAATCCGGCCTGACTTATTGGTAGGGGATCCAACGCTTGCAGACAGAAGTGCTACTTATCCGATTAAGAAGAAGAAAGATCTATGCTGGTTGCCTCCTCCACCAGATTTTTTTAAATTCAACGTGGATGGGGCAGTAAATGTTGATGGCTTAAGAGGTGGAATTGGAGGAATTATGAAAGATTCATATGGATCTATCCTGATCACTTTTTCTACTGCTGTAGGACCTGGTCCCCCATTATTTGCTGAGTTGAAAGCAATTAAAGAAGGAATTGATTTATTTCTTTGTTCTCAATGGGCGGGGAAAGTTAGACTTGTTCTAGAGAGTGACTGCTTAAAGGCAGTGGAGTGGATTTCGAACCCTTCTTCGGCCCCTGTGTTTCTTAGTTTGATGGTAGGAGAAATTGGATCCTTAGTTACTGCCAAGGACATAATGGTTAAATGGATTCCTAGGAGCTGTAATTTGGAGGCAGACAAGCTAGCTAAGGAAGGGATAGGCTGATGGTTTT